ACTAATTCCTCCTGTGCCTTAGCTTCCCTCTGCACCTGGAAAACCTCTGCTGCCAAAGGCTCAGTTGTTGTACCAACTTCAGTGCTGGAGGTGCTTTCCCTATCACGCTTACCTGACTCCGACTGGCCGGATGATGGAGAGGGTAGTATAAAGGGCTCAGCCAGTAGGACAGCAATCTGATCGCTGGCTTTGTCCTTCAGCAGCCTTGCTCGACGTTGCTGCAGAGAACGGACTCTAGAGGCAAACGTGCCAACAGCAATATCTTTGGTACTGGAACCTATCAGAGAACCAGTCCATTTCAACATATCGTTGAACGAAAACTTCGAGGCATTTTTGAATGTAAGTAGCTCCAGAACGACATCGTTGGTGACAGGAAAATCACTCGTCTTCAAACAGGTAAGAGCTTCGTCTGATTTCAACGCATTTCTCAGTTTGCTTGAATAAATACCAAGCCTCCGACATGCAGGTCCAGGGCTATTCTCCTCCTCATCGGCCATGAAGAATTCAAATATTCAAATTCTCGCTGTAGAGAAATACAGAGCAGACAAATATTACTTACCGCCTGGAACCGCTGCAAACTAGATGAAGAAAGACGATCGTTCTTACCTAATTTCGGGACGAGGAACACGATGGAAGAATCACCGTCCGTCAACGCTCAAAGGAACAACATCAAAATCGCGTTCAAAGTTTTACGGCAAGACGTGGGAAGTCCCATCTCACGACTGTGACCTCGAGTGAGACACCAAACGAAAGCTAAAAATCTCCTCTGTCAAATGCCTGTCATCTCCTTCTTCAACAAACTACAAGTCTAAAAAAAAATCAATATTTCCACGTGGCACATTTTTGTGCCATGCTCGCGTCAAAATGCATGCATTGACGCGTGACGAAGATTTTTCACCGTGCTGTCACGTGACTGAACTTACTCAGAGTGAGTGAGTGATGATGAGTTCAAGTTCTTCTTTATCTTTACTTATAAAAGAGAGGCACCTGTGACGTCTGTGTGTGTGTGTGTGTGTGTGTCACGCTCCTTATAAAGAGGAGGCACCTGTGACGTGTGTGTTTGTGTCACGCTGAAGCGCTGCGGAGCAGAGCTGCCCTGACACGGTGACTTCATGTGCACCATCTAATGACATGGCGTCCTTTCATGCGGTTTACCGCACGGATTTATGAAGTCAGACATATTCCGATTTATTTGCATCAATCGCACAAAATTAGGTACATTTCTCTTGTAAACCCTGTCAGTTTGAGAATTTAGACAAACACCGAACAAATTTTAGCCGCGACGAGGATCGGGAGGAATCCATTCAGCTGCAGTCCGCGCACTGCGGAAAATCAAACACCGCACTTTCCCTCCAGTTTGAAATGAACTTTCGTACGGAAAACAGAGCGCTGAATCCATCCACGTCCACAACTACGAATCTTTACTTATAAAAGAGAGGCACCTGTGACGTCTGTGTGTGTGTGTGTGTGTGTCACGCTCCTTATAAAGAGGAGGCACCTGTGACGTGTGTGTTTGTGTCACGCTGAAGCGCTGCGGAGCAGAGCTGCCCTGAGCACGCGAAGCGTGCGAACAGTGTAGCACAGTGTAGCTAGCGGCCGCAGAAGCACTGAGCAGGCGAAGCGTGCGAATCGCGAATATCGTGTAGCTAGCTAGCGGAAGCAGCCACAGAAGCACTGAGCACGCGAAGCGTACGCTTCGCGTGCTCAGTGCTTCTGTGGCTGCTTCCGCTAGCTAGCTACACGCGCGTGCGAATCGTGTAGCCACCACCACGTGCTGAGCACGCGAAGCGTGCGAACAGTGTAGGTGGTAGCAGACACGATCAGTACGAGTAGCAGTAGCAGCCGCGCGCAGAAGCACTGAGCACGCGAAGCGTGCGAATCATGTAGCCACCTAGCCTAGGCCATAGGTAGCACTAGCAGCCGCACAAGCGCTGCGGACCACGTGAACCATGTGAATCGTTCTCTGCAAATAGAAACATCTGCAACAAAAGGATACAAAAGATCTGCACTGACTGCACGTGCACTCTGCATCTGATCTGCAGTGAAGAGCGCATCGCACTTTTGTTCGTAAGTTTATGAATTTTTTGAGCCGCTTCATCCGCCACCAGGTGATGGACAACCCTGACCAGCCTCCCGAAGGCGTAACAGACGTCCCTCCTTCTCCTTCCAACGATGAAGAACCTCCCTCACACCAGGACTTCAGCGGTCTGGCCACCACCACGTGCTGAGCACGTGTGCTGTTCATGTACTTGCTTCACCCGCATGCCACATGCATTCGGCCAGGCAACGCTGGCCGGTGGTGCTGCTAGTAAGTTATAAAGAAGAGGCACCTGTGACGTGTGTCTGTGTGTGTGTGTGTGTGTGTGTGTCACGCTCCTTATAAAGAAGAGGCACCTGTGACGTGTGTGTTTGTGTCACGCTGAAGCGCTGCGGAGCAGCGCTGCCCTGATCAGCACGCGAAGCGTGCGAACAGTGTAGCACAGTGCAAGTGTAGCTAGCGGCCGCAGAAACACTGAGCACGCGAAGCGTGCGAACGAAGCGTGCGAATCGTGTAGCTAGCGGAAGCAACCACAGAAGCACTGAGCACGCGAAGCGTGCGAATCGTGTAGCCACCACCACGTGCTGAGCACGCGAAGCGTGCGAACAGTGTATGTAGGTGGTAGCAGACACGATCAGTAGATCTACGAGTAGCAGTAGCAGCCGCGCGCAGAAGCACTGAGCACGCGAAGCGTGCGAATCATGTAGCCACCTAGCCTAGGCCATAGGTAGCACTAGTACTAGCAACCGCACAAGCGCTGCGGACCACGTGAACCGTTCTCTGCAAATAGAAACATCTGCAACAAAAGGATCCAAAAGATCTGCACTGCCTGCACTCTGCATCTGATCTGCAGTGAAGAGCGCATCGCACTTTTGTTCGTAAGTTTATGAATGTTTTGAGCCGCTTCATCCGCCACCAGGTGATGGACAACCCTGACCAGCCTCCCGAAGGCGTAACAGACGTCCCTCTTTCTCCTTCCAACGATTTTTTTTTTTTTTTTTTAAATTTCGGCCAGTCGGCTACTATCATTTTTCGTCTTGGGGGCTAGACAAGGGGAAGTAGCCATGTCGGGGCGGGAGCCCGCCTTTCGGCACCGGGAGTTGCAGCTCGCTCGACTTGACTCTACTGAGTGCAGAGGACCCACACCTTGATCTGGTGAGCTGCGTCGTGGGGATTTTGCAGTCAGATGTGCGACTGCGGGGCTCGAACCCGCGACCTCTCGGGTCGCAGGTTCCAACGATGAAGAACCTCCCTAGGCCCTCACCAGGCCGACTTCAGCGGTCTGGCCACCACCACGTGCTGAGCACGTGTGATGTTCACGTACTTGCTTCACGCGGCCGCATGCCACATTCGGCCAGGCAACGCTGGCCGGTGGTGCTGCTAGTGTATGTATAAAGCCGCCGCCACACGACTGGAACCTCAAGATGCGGACATTACAGACTGGAACCTCAAGATGCGGACATTACAGACTGGAACCTCAAGATGCGGACATTACAGACTGGAACCTCAAGATGCGGACATTACAGACTGGAACCTCAAGATGCGGACATTACAGACTGGAACCTCAAGATGCGGACATTACAGCCAGACCACAATGATGTCTGCTCTACGGTCCTCACGTGCTCTCCATGATAACGCTCTTCTCCTTCTCATGATTTCGATAGACAGTGGAAAGAGGTGCAGCACGGTTTGACATCATAATGCTTCACACAATCCCTGACACCGACATCTAAGCGAGCGTGGTCATCAGTTGTTGGCAACCGACGCGGAAACCGCTCCCTGGAAAGTGGCTGGAGGGACGACTGAACGGACATATTATGTGCAGGGAACAACATGAAATCGTTGGAGTGCCATTTGTGTGGATGAATGCAAGAATCTCTCATTAGCGAGTGTCAGTGCATTGCAAGTGTGATAACTGTTCAATGATGATGGATCCTTGCTATTGCGCACCCTGCTGTACTGGAACTGGTCCTAGTCACACACATCGTGTCATTCAGTGATAACAGTTACATAGAGACGATCTGTTGGCTATTCTCTTGGTCTCCACCCTACGGGAACAGCCAACTTATCTGGACCCATCCCATAAGCTATTTCCCGGCGCTCTCTCGTGCTAACCTTTGAAATCTTTCATACATCATTGGTAGGGCTTGGTGTGATGTAAAAGAAAGCCACTTCCTTTCCTACATTGTCGGAATAGGTCTATGCACTAGCGTGACATGTACTTCAGTCCTGGCCAAAGAAATCCCACCCGCAAGTCAAACGTAGCTTTGCGATTGCACTCCAATGACATCATGCACGTTCCCAAAACTGATTTCGAGGGCCGCAGCGGCCGCATGAGCCTTGGTGCTGCTTTCGGCACGTGGGTTGGCCAATTGGATTTCTTTGGCCACGACTGTTCAGTCATCATGTATTGTATTGTATAATTATGGAATGACGGCAAGTAGTTATTTCTGTGACAAACTGTACTGTGTAGTGTGTAAAATGCATGGTGCAGTGCAACACCTAAGTACACATGTACTGTACTATGTAGTGTGTAAAATGCATGGTGCAGTGCAACACCTAAGCACACATGTAATACAATCATCATGTAGTTAGTACGGCCTTAAGGATAAGTCCTTGTTCCGTGAGATTAGTTACCAGGACAACAGGCACTTCGTACATAACTACTCTCTCACACATGCAGTCATCTTTAAACAATTATGCTCTATTTCTGATTCCTGTTATCATGAAGTACATAGTCAGCCATCTCTCTGTCCCCACGTCGTTTCTCCACTGACCAATTTTGTCATTATCAAATGTCAGCCTTCAGCATATCCCTACTCTATTTGAGAGTGATGGAAAAACGGATTTACATCAGAATTAGCTGAACTATAGTCACCATCAGTGCACACACAGGCATGAAAACAGCTCAGTAACATGCTTCACCGCACTCATACATGTACATTGCATCCAGCACAACACATTGAGCAGCAGACGGCACACTGTGAAGGTCGGGTCTCCGTATGGATAACAAAAACAAGACTTCCGAATAATGATGATGAAAATAGCGAAAGTGCAGTGCACAGTACACTAACAAGTTGTGTACCGTAATGACGTAATGACGTAATGACGTAATGATCCGGCAAGGCAATTGCAGCAGTGGTACATGGTGTAAAGTGTAAACGCATCATGTTGTGCAATGATAAGGAAAATAAGTGCAAGATCAGTGCAGACACACACACACACATTCTGTGCTGTAATTAAAAAAGAAGGCATGCAAAGTAAAGTGCAGTTCCGACAAAGTGGGTTCCTTACTGATACAGAAAACAGCAGAGCATGAAAATACATTGCCGACTCCACCATATAGAATACTAGAAGCGAAAAGCAACAAAAACGGCAACGAAAACAGTTGGCAGTGAAAAAGGAACGAAGACAGCTGGCAATGAAGAAGCAACAAAAACAGCTGGCAGTGAAAAGCAACGAAAACAGCTGGCAGTGAAAAAGCAACGAAAACAGCAATGAAAACAGTGATGAGCTGCCCAAAGACCACACTGTGATTTCACATCATGGATAAAAGTAATGAAGTGCATGATCAGTCCACACACCCACACACACACGTATTCTGTGCTGTAGTGATAAGAAATGATACAAGTGAAACAGCAGTGTACACAAACACGTCATGTTGTGTAACTGTCACAGAAAACAAATGAAAACATCACTGCACACACACACACACCCGCAATCATATTGCAGGTCAGTAGTGATGTAGGCTGGCAAGGGAATAACAATGACAAAAAAGGTCACTGGGGTCTGCAATGATGGGTAAAAAAGAGGGAAACTGTGGGTAACACAAACAAATTCTGTGCTTTAATGATGAGAAAAATAAGAAGCGAAACTGCAGTGCTGTAGTTCATAAACATAATAATTGTGTCATGTAAAAATAAAAGTAAAAAACAAGTGACATCGCAATGCGCACACGCACACATACATTTCCATGAGGCAATGATGGAGACTAGCAAGTGAAGCTGCAGTGAAATGCACAAAGCATGTTGTGATCAGAAATGATGGATAAAAACAAGTCGAACTGTTCAACATGCAAACAACCATGACAGTGTATTCTGTTACGTTGTAGTACTAAAAGCAAGCCGAACGGGAACTTCAGGCCAAACACACACATGGACATCATTGATGACGAAGAAGAGCAAGTGAAATGACATTACACACAAGCACTTTGTGCTACAAAATAGCTAGGGAAATTTTGCAGGCGGCAAGAAGTGCACATGCACAAACAAACGCACACACGCACACACACACACACATACATTCAACATACACATACACATACACTCACAAACACACACATACATGCAATAAAAAAATAAAAAAACGAGTGAAGGCCGTAGTGAACACAAACACAAATACATAGTGCTCTTCAATACTGAGGCAAACAAGTGAAGGATTGGTATACATACATGCATGGCAAATGCAAGTGAAATAGTAAACAACAAATTGCCACAATGGCAAATTTCTAGCCAGCATGACTAATGATCGATGATAGGAAACATCAGCCACTGTTCCGACTCTGTCCTCAGTGACCATGACAACGATAACCTGGTTAGAGAGTGTAGACACCTGTAACATGTATGTGACAAACAAACAAATACATGATGTACACACCATTTATACACACGTGTACACAAATACATGATGTACACACCATTTATACACACACACGTACACAAATACATGTACACATCATTTATACACACGGGTACACAAAATCATTTACACTAGTCAGAACAACAGATGGCTTGATCAGTCACAACTTTAAGTTTCATGCCATCTCAGGCACTCATCAGGTGATATGAACATCAAGAAAAATAACCCACTATTTAAAGCCCAGTATGGCGGGACAAGGATAACAGAAAGCGCTAGAGGGGCTATCAACTCATATCCGATTCAGGTTCTTTCTGAAAGACGACCAAGCCGATGAAGCAGATTTGGACGACACTCCCGTCTTCAAATACAGGAAATGCCCCCCGCAAGTTGAGGAGATGAGGCATTTTGAAGAAGATCTGCTGGATATGGTCGAAAAGGTTTCATTTCGTACAGTTTCCGATCCCTTCCAAGATAAACTCAAGCAAGACTCTAAGAACTTCAACTCTACCGATGACATCATCGTCCGCGCGGATAAAACAAGAAATACGTATCTGGTCAAGACCGAACCGTATGAGAAGCTGCTGCGAGATAACACTACTAAGCACTACCAGTTAGCACCTGAATCTACCTACGACGAGATTAATAACGAGGCAAGGGATCTATCACGCAAGGCTAAGCTCGATGATAGAATGGAGACCCTACCCAAAGCTGAGGCCTTTATTACTATGAAGGATCATAAACCAAGGTTCGAGAGCAGCCTTCCCTGCCGATTGATAAATCCTGCCAAGCCTGACATGGGTCGACTCAGCAAGGGGATCCTCGACAAGGTGATCAGGAGCATCGTGGAACGTCAGAACATGAACCTCTGGAAGAACACCGCGGCTGTGCTCAAGTGGTTCCAGGCCATACCTAATAAGCAGAGCCACTCCTTCATCTGCTTTGACGTTGTTGACTTTTATCCAAGCATCACCGAGCCTCTCCTCCGGTCTGCACTGGCATTTGCTGAGCAGTTTGCTGCACTGACCCAAAGTGACATCGACATCATCATGCACTCCCGTAGGTCACTCCTGTTCCAGGGCAGCCGTCCATGGATAAAGAACAACGCACAATGCAACTTCGACGTGGCGATGGGATCGTACGATGGAGCAGAGATATGTGAGCTCGTTGGTGCTTTCCTATTGAGCAAGTTGTCTGTGCACGTCGATGAGGCCGGAATTGGACTTTACAGAGACGACGGCCTTGCCGTGCTGAAAAATGCACCAGGGCCAGTTGCCGACCGCACGAGGAAGTCCATTATCGAAGTATTCAAGCAGTATGATCTAAAAATCACTATCGATGTTAATCTTTCGACAGTTAATGCCTCGACACCGGGAAATTCCAGCCGTATCGTAAACCTGGAGACGCACTTCTCTACGTCAACGCCATGTCCAATCACCCACCATCCATACTACGGAACATCCCTGATATGATCGCTCAACGTGTCTCAAGCATATCTGCCGACAGCGGCGTATTCGCCGATGCTGCCCCTGCATATCGCAATGCATTAGCAGCCAGCGGATTACCTGCCAACATCAAGTACATTGACCCAACGCCACCTGCTGCAATGAACGGCAGCAAGCAAAAAAGAAAAAGGAAACGAAATGTGGTGTGGTTTAACCCGCCATACTCCAAGAGTGTCCGGACCAACATCGCCGGCACCTTTCTCCGGCTGATCGACAAGCATTTTCCTAAGGGGTCCAAAATGAACAAAATCTTCAACCGCTTCAATGTGAAGGTGAGCTACTCCTGTTTGCCGAATATGGCCCACATTATCAGTGGCCACAATAAGCGTCAATTGTGCGTCCAGGAACCGGACAAGCCGTGCAACTGCCGTCGCAAGGACCAGTGCCCTCTCAACGGAGCGTGCCAAGCAACCAGCATAGTCTACGCGGCGGAGGTGTCGAGTGATGGTCACAGCAATGGGCCCAAAGCCTACATTGGCAGTACGGAGCCTCCATTCAAGCTTCGATACGGGAACCACAAGACATCCATCAAGCTTCCTGGATATCGCAAATCCACTGGCCTCTCAAAGCATGTGTGGGAATTAAAAGATAATGGCAAGACGCACGACATCAAGTGGCGAGTGGTTCAGAAGGCCAAGGCCTACAGCAACATAACAAAAAGATGCAGCCTGTGCCTCGAGGAGAAGGCGAGAATAATCACTGCCGGCAGGAGATCGAGCCTCAACAAGCGGGGTAGAGTTGATATCCAAATGTCGACATCAAAATAAATTCATGCTGTCAACACATGATCTTCTCGGCACCCTGCCTCCAGGCAGTAGGGCCAGTTGATAGCTCTCTGCCGCCTTGTCACCATCATATTTGCACCGCGGAACTCACTAGCTAGGCCAGCTCAGTTTTATCACCTTTATCACCTTTATCCTTTATCACCTTAGTACCGCGATCCTTACTGGCTATGACACTGAATCGGATATGAGTTGATAACGCCCCTAGCGTTTTCTGTTATCCTTGTCCCGCCATACTGGGCTTTTAAAAAAAATAGTGGGTTATTTTTCTTGATGTTCATATCACCTGATGAGTGCCTGAGATGGCATGAAACTTTAAGTTGTGACTGATCAAGCCATCTGTTGTTCTGACTAGTGTGTCACGGCTCTACCTTCCCGGTATCGAGCTCTCTTGGATTTCTGCTGGAATTCACAACAGTGTACACATCATTTATACACATGTGTACACAAATACATGTACACACCATTTATACACACACACACACACACACACACACACACACACACACGCGCGCACGCACACACACCATGTACCATGTACCATGTATACGCCCATCAGAAGAGAAGCACGAAAATCTGCAAATGTACCGGATGTGCACCCACAGATTTTCTCTTATAACAACGATAGCGAACAAGATCTGAATGAGACAGATCAAGACTTGCGCCAGATAACTGTCTAATCCACAAAACTGGCGAAGCCATGTGAATTGACCACCAATACACACCTGGTCTACACCACACAGAGTACATCGGCATAAAACGACAAAGACAGTTACCTATGCACACCCTACACTTGCTGGGGTAACCAGTATATACAGCACGCTGCTTTGATAGAAGCAGACACTAGATGCACTGGTACCTTGAAGTGAAATCGGAGTTACTTTACCAACCAGCCTCGGCTACTGAGTACTGGGAACCCAGAGCCAACAGACATACCAACAACCTCAGCCATGAAAGATATTATAGTAAGGACACACTGGATTGTGGAGCCGAAACTAGTCCAACTTCCAAATACTTACACACACAAACACACACACACACACACACACACTACTATATTTATTCACAGCCGCCAGAAATGGCCACACTGCTCCCGAATATGAGGTGTACTTCAGTACACGGTTGGTGATGGTGGCAGTGACACAATCACCAACACCAACGACAAAGACAATGAAAACAAAACACACGCGCACACACGTGCACACACACATGCACACACACGCACACGTACATACACACACACACATACACACACATACACACACATACATAACCCACACCACGCACGCACGCACGCACGCACATGCACTAAACACACTTCAGTGCATACTTGGTCCGTCTAGTTAAAATTGGCGCATATCTTTGCACTTAATATGATGATTTTTCGGTGTTCTGCCCGTGTTATATGGCATGGAAGCACCCATTCACCATCCTAACATAACCATTGAGCATTGCTTCCGACGACATGGCAGCACAAATCATCACAGAAGTTGCGATCGGTTCGTTTGAGTCTTTTTCACTGGAGCTGGCGCCAACGAACACTGCAAACTCTGTTCCAGTCCGTAAAAAAGGTCGGGATGTTCGCATTTCAGAGCGAAGGAGAATACAGTTTCTGCTTACTTCCAGCTGTCTGGTGCGAGAATGGTTGACCGCGGGGAGTTATAGAAAAGCTGCAAAAGTGCTTCGCAAGCTTGAATTTCATTTCTCGCACAGTACAGCGCCTAGTGAAGAGTTATCACCAGCAAATCGCTGACGAAGAAACTGCAGCTCATGTCGACATCTCCAGAACATGAGACCAATCCAGCGGACACACTTTGAAGCTCACAGAGGACTGGGCAAAGGGGATAATCAAAATAAACACCAAGTCCTGAGGGAAACGCTCGTGCAAAGGACTTTCAGGAAACTAGCCGAAAAGACTGGTGCAAGTCGTTGTGACTTAGGAAGTGAGGTGCAGTCGATCTGCACATAGGTGTTACATCAATCAGGCGGAAGCTATCACTGCGGCCAAACAATTTTCAAGCAGTTGTCATGGCAACCGGCAGTGGTGATGTAATCAGAATGGAGTGTGCTGATCACTGACCTGATTAGACTCGATCACTCTCCGTCAGCAAACTGTTCATCTGCTCAAGCCGTGTTGTGTACTGTCCATAACCCTTGACGATCTTGCACAGCTTGATGTAGCCAACACGTTCCTGTGCCATGATGATATCCAGTAGCTCACAGTTGTGGGCTTCGTTACCATTGTACTTCTCAGTGATCATGAGCCTTTTCATCTGAGGAAAATCCGTAAAGAAGCCGTATCCCTGTGCTTTGCTACGTAGGCCAGCAGCACCTAGTGATTGCAGCCAGATGTGGATATCATCAATAAAGGTGGCATGCTTGAATGGGTTATCCAAGAACGTCTCTGAAAAGCAGAAAAGAACGTGATCATAATATTGTTGAGGCCAATGTGCAATTTGATCCGGTACTGTTTCTACCAAAGCAGCAAAGGCAGTATAAATGTTCTGCAGACAAAGTGCCTGTTACGTCAAATGATCAAACACCCTTAGAAGCTCTGCCAGCTCGTCAATTTTATTAAATAACCGACGAGGAGATAATAGCTTTCCCTGATGAGTGTGTCATGAAAATTGATTAGGAAATTTTGCATTTAGATTCATTATATTCTTCTCTTCTTTTTGTTTCGTAACCTCTGCCTCACTTATACTATTCTTGACTTGTTTTATCGGTTAAACATGTCCTTATCGACATCAAGTTTTTAAGTAGTGCATTCGCCTCATAATGCATGCTGCCAGAACACTCTGGTTGACTTTGCTATGAATGTTTGCACAGTTTTCACATCTGACAATAACGAGATTGCTGCAATACTCCTACACATAGGTACCTGGCGTGGTATTTGCATTCACGGTGCTTGCAATGCTTTTCTTTTCTCCAGCATATTTCAAGACAAGATGATACAGTTTGTTTTACATCACCAGGCATACACATAATTATGGGATAGGTGTGCAATGAGATTGGTGATCTGTCTACTCATGATTAGTCACAGACTGTTAATCCACACACTTGTGATAAGTCACGCACTATTGACTCATCCACTCAACATAAGCCAAGCACTTTCGAAGCCCGGACGTTTAAAAAAATAATTTCTGGACAGGCAAGCGAAGCGAGGTAGGCAAGAAAATATTTCTCGGGCAATATTTTTCGGTCGCAACTATGGCATCTGATGACTTTTTTTTATCGTTGTTTCTTTTCCTGGCTTCCTCAATCAGGTTTGAATCTCATCAGTATCCCTGCCCTTCCAACCTTCATTTCTATGCACATAAATATTGCTTTTCAAACTTTTCCTATGATGTGATTTGCCTGCTTACATGATGCCATACAATCACCATTGGGGACATGCACCTGGTTTTTACCCTCACTGTGCTTCGGCGCGAGGATTTTTTCCGCCTGGCGCGGTCCATGAAAATTAATCTGACCGTCCCACATGTTTCAAGAAGCAGTGCTGTTCTGCATTGTGACCCATCCTTGCAATCCTCGCGCATA